ATTACATGCTTTTAAAAATCAAAAGTTGCGCCTTTTGAAGGGGGTGTAACCGGTTACAAGGTTTTGGGTAACTGGTTACATCAGTGCAGAAATGAGAAAATTGCCGCGTTGCAACCTGTTCTGAGCACGACTCTACATCTGAACCTCAACCTTCGATATGACACTTACATGATGATCATAATATGATATATAACTTGTCTGGAATAAATCTTATGAACTTCGTGCTCTCTGTTCTTGATTCTAAAGTAATCAAACCATTTGTTAAGCAAAATAAATGCTTGAACCTCTGATGACTGTGAGATTAGTTCTTAATGCTACTGAAATACTCTCTGAAATAAAGAAAACCCTAAACCGCAAGAAATAGGTCGTGATCCCATGCCTTAAGAGTTCACGCACATGAATGATTATGATATCATGACCTAATGGAGATGCACGTCAATGAGAAGCAAAAGACAACTAGAATTAGAAACAAAAGGGAAAATTTTAGGGTGCAACAGCTGCCCCTATTCAATCGACTTAAACCTGAAGGTATGAAAAACAATGGTTTTCAGACATTTAAGGTATAAGTGGAATTGAATACCAAAAGAACCAAAAAATTTGCACTCTGTGGGGAAAATAAATATAACAGTGATAGAGTGTCAGCCGAAGACGGACTCTATTCTTGTTCATGTTTTAGAACTCTTAGGTTTTGTTCGCTCTTTTTCCTTTCCTTTTTGGATAAAATAAAAGTGCAGTGACGACTCTTTCATTTTTTAGTTAAGTTAATTAATAACTTACACTCACAATTTTACCACTACAGCCCTTGACTAACTGATCTTTGAGATGTTCTTTGAGTCTCGACGGGATTACCCCAGATTGACTGAATCTTGAGGTGGCTAGGCTTGCCCTTGTGCTTAACGGAGTTTTCATGTGTTTTTCCCCTGTGAGGTGATCAAATTTCCTATTGTGGAAACTTTCTTGATGTCAAGTGCTTGTTTGTGATAAGTGCTAAATTGGAGTGATATTGATTGTGAATAATTAGCCCTTATTAGCTTAGTTCAACCAATAAACCTCAACTTTTTTTGCATATGTTGTATAGTTTACATTATAGTGTATATATTGTATTATCGTATAAATATGATTGATCAAACGTATAGATCATTTCTAGATAAATGCATGGAGTAAGGGGGAGGATGATACAACACATTATGCTCAACTATGTTTCTACTGTTTTGCCATCATCAAAAAGGGGGAGTATGTGAGGGCAAAGTGCCTCATACTTGGTTATACTTTTTTTAATGATGTCAAAACATATATAGTTTGAAAAATGTACTTTGGACGGTATTATCGAGTCGCATATGCATGCGTTATCTTTCTTGTGTCAAACATTTGTCAAAACATGTCTAGATACATATAGAAAGAGAACTATGTGTGTTCTATATGAGTTTGATCATGTTGGTCAAGATAGAGATGCATTAGGATCTCTTAGAAGTAGCTAAATATATGAAAATCTGCATTTTTGTAAGTTCTGGGTCTTTGAGTTGACTCATATCATGCTTAGGTCGACTCATACAGAAGTCAATTTTCATGTCTTGCTCTTAGGAGAGCTCGCGTCGACCCTCTGATCGACTCATAATGTGTGCATTTGTGCTTGTCAAAATTGGGGTGCTTTGTGTCGACGCATGGACCTACTCTAGTCGATGCAAAGAGTTGTTTCCTGCATAATCCTGAATTTGGGAGAGCTTAGGTTGACCCTCCCCTTATTTTAGGTCAACCGCTCGCGCGTTTCTCACAGAATTTCTGTTATGCTTAACATTCAAAGTGACCGTTATGTTGGTTATTTGGTTTCAACTTTGCATATATATTGAGTTAGTTCATTCTACACAAGGATAACAAGAAAAGTGAAAATATACACTGATTTAGTTCTCATCATCTTCATCCTCTTTCTTGCATTTTCTCAACAACTACACATAATCATTTTTGTTTTGTATTCTGCACCATCAAGGTGATAACGTCCAAACTTAGGATTGGTGTATTGGGTTTGGGTTGAGAAATCAGTTGGTTTTTCTTGAATAAAACCTTGAGGGTTGTTTCTTCCAAGAATCTTGGATTTTAGGGGTTTTGCCCAAATAGTTTCTTCACAGACTCAGCCGAGAAAAGGTAATTGAAGAACGGGAGGTTCTGTCAATTTAGTAGCGTTAGTCAAAGGATTATGGTAGAAAGGTTTGGGTTCGAATTGTTGGTATTTGAAATCAGTCGGGCAAAGATTTGAAGACCAGAGGGTTGTTCAAAGGTGGTGTCATAATCAGAGGTTTACTCATCATGTTCGAAGGACTTGATTAATCTTAAATCAAGGGAAGAGAAGGCATATGATTGACATCAACATTTAGGTTTGATTGTTTGAATTCTATTGCTTGTAAAAACAATTTGCAACTGGTTATATATATAAGTCTCAATTCTATTTTTAGAATTGAGGGTAGACGTACCCCGAGCGAGGACGACGGGGGAACTGCCTCAACAAATTGGTGTTCTCTCTTTTTACTATTTTCATTGCTGAATTTTGAGTTTGTGTGCAAACATATTAGTTGATTAAAATTCTGGTGTGTGTTAGTGCTGAAACATTTTTTGAAACCTAATTACAATCTTTTGATTGCAATTGAAGAACATAGCACTTCATTCACCAATTTAAATTTACTTGAGGTGCTTCGCACACCAAGTGTTAGACTAATTGCGTGAACACAAACACTTGAGTTGTTTTTCAATTGGTTTATATTTCACACACATTAGAAACTGTCCAACTTTAAATGAACAAAATCTGATTGATTTGTGTTCAAACTATTGATTCTAATTCTCGTCCTTATCGGTACTCCATATAGGCTTTGCGTATATCCGATTTTTTTTGGTAAAGATTCGTTTAGACAAGTATAGTTCCTCGCCACTTCCGCTTAAAACTTTTTAAAATCCAAATCTTAATAAGCGCTGACTCTGTTTTTAACAAGTGATATATTCAACCCCCCATTCTAGATCATTGTTGTCGTCTAACAAGTGGTATCAAGAGCACCGGTTCATTCCGTGCTTCACATATAACTTCTTAGAATATAGCAAACGAACCAAAAGGGGCTTAAAATAGAGCACTTGTTTTCAATGGTGAGAGTTATAGTTACTTGAAAGATTGTATGCACGTGCATATAAATTCCATTGAAAGAAAGGTATGGAATGTTATATTGAACGGTCCTATGGAAATTACCATGAATGATGAAAATAACGTTGTTGTGCCTAAGCCTGAAGCACAATGGAAATATGAAGATGAGAAAAAGTACAATTACGATTGGAAGGCTAGAAATATTTTGATCTTCTCCTTGGAAGTTGATGAATATTATAGAGTTTCACATTGTATGACTGCTAAAGCTATGTGGGGCTTATTGTAAGTTGGCCATGAGGGAACTAATGATGTCAAACTAGCTAGAATCAACACTTTGACTCAAGAGTTTGATCTCTTTCATATGGAGCAAGGGAAAACCATTATCGACATGCAAAAGAGATTTTCTCATTTAATTAATAGACTAAATTCACTTGGTAGACCAATTTCCAATGATGTTGCTACTAACAAAGTTTTAAGATATCTTAACAGGGAGTGGCAACCAAAGGTCACGACCATAAAGGAAGAAAATGATCTTATGACTTTGGATCTTACAACTCTTTTTGGAAAGCTGCAAGAACATGAGCAAGTGCTTCTCAGTCTCGAGCAATTTGAGAAAAAGGAAAAGAAGGAAAAGACCAAAACTACAGAAAAGAAGTTTATAGCTCTAAAATCTTCTTGTTCAAAGTCCTCCATAAAAGAGCTAAGTGATTACGACTCGAGTGATGACGATGATGAAAAAATGAATGAGGATATGGGGCTGTTCTTGAAGCGATACAATCACTATGTAAAGAAGAATGATATCCAACATTCCGAAAAGAATCTTGTCAATTTTAGAAGACAATCAAGGTCTTCCAAGAATGAAGGCAATAAGGGGAGTAAAGCAAGAGGGTCATGCTTTAATTGTGGAAAAGTCGGACACTATAAGCCGGATGATGAAGAAGGATAAAGGAAAAGAAAGTAATTACTCACAAAAGAAACAAGGTAAGCCTAAAAGAGCTTACATTGCTTGAGAAAGCGATAATGAGTCATTCGCGGATGATAGTTCAAGTGACGAAAATGAGTCTGTCAACCTTTGTCTCTCTGCTCATCAAAAGAAGAAAAACAAAAAGGTACGACATGCTAAATATGAAAATTCTACTAGATTGTCTCATTCTGAATTACAACTTGCCTTTGATACCTTACACCATGAAGTAAAGGAAGCCTTTAAACAGTTGGCCTAAAACAAACAAACTTTTACTCATTTAGAGGAAAAGATCTCTGATTCCGAAAGGGAATTGGAGGCTTTAAAGGCATCCATGGTGGAAGTAACAAAGGTAGATGTTGAGGAAGAAAGAAGTAGATGGGTAAAATTTGGGTGTGATACTTGTCATATTTGGAAAAAATAGGTTAGAACTCTTAAAGCTAAACTTGACAAGGCTCTAGAACCAAAGATCATGTTTTCTATTGATAGATCATATTTTAGAAAAAGCATGATTAATCCTTATCAAAAATATACATATGTGATCAAAAATCTAGGTAACAAAAGTGATACAAAGGTTAACCTCACTTGCTTGTATTGTTGCAAAAGGGGTTAAAACAAGTCCTTTATCCCTACCTTTAATTTCTGTTTTGTTGTGTAGTTTGTTGACTTTTAATAATCTGACCTTGAGGATGATATTACGCTGCGTCAACATTTAAGGATGAGTAGTGCAGCTTAGGAGCCAGAGGCTTGAGACTGAGGAAGAATCCGAGGAGTAGCATATTATGGGAACACTTGAGCAGGGTACATTAAGTCAGGATTAACCATCTGATTATCAGTCTGACCAAATTGGATCCCATATGGATTGTAGGATGCCCTAGAATAAGCAAGTAGAGTTACAACAGCAAGAGGTGCCCTAGGTTAGGCAGAATGCACTATAGAGTTAGCAGACTGGAAGCCTTGGTAGGGGCCTTGCCCAGAAGGTTGAATGGCTGAAGCAATCAACACATGAGTAGGAGGACCCTTATTCTTTGCCTCAGCAGATGTTTCACTGATCACAAGTATGGAATTCTGGCAAGGCTTCTTTGTAAAGTATAATAGCTTCTGATCGAGGAGCTCTTGAACTTTGTTCTTGAAAATGATACAGGATTCCGTAGAGTGCCCCACATATCCAGCATGGTATCCACATGTGGCATTAGGATCGTGCCTAGGATGGTAGGGAAACTTAGTTGTCTCAATCTCTTTAGGAATAATTGCTCCAGTATGAATAAGATTAGACAATAGTTGGGTGTATGACATGGGAATTGGATCAAAGCAAGGACGTCTTCTTCCTTGTTTGTTGTTCCCTTTGCAGACTTGCTTCTACTTTTGTTTCTGATTGCCTTGAGTGGACTTATGATTAGATAGGGGATAAACAGGCAGATAGCTTATGGTTGCATTCGTGATTTCACCCGCCTTTTGCCCGTTCTCAGCTCGTTCATCAATCACAACTTGACCTGAGAAGTCCATTGTCATACTGTCTAGAAGTAGTTCCACAACCATGTCAACCTTGCCTTTCTTTCCCATTGTGTTATTATACCCAATCTATTCCATGATTCTTTGGCTTTCGGTGTCGCATAATCATTGTCTTTGGGATGATGAAGGGAAGAAGGTGAGCTTTTTTCTAGTTTGTGTGTATGCAATGCAAATGTTTGTATGCATATGCTGTTTATGCAGATGGAAATGCAAGTAAGATAAGCAACATCCATTTATTCAAAGATTCGATGATGCAATAATTCAAATTCAAAAGTCTGGTACATACAATGATGCAATAATAATATGCAATAATGTATGTTAGGGATGCAACATCTTCTGGATAGTCTACATAGACTGCTCGTTGTAGGTTCAAAGGTATGACGTATACACGAGAACAAAGGTATGTAAGGTCTATGGTTTCCTGCAGAAAAGCCCAAGATCCCCTCACAGGTGTGTTCTAGTCTTCCAAAGGTGGTCCCTAGAAGGTCTTCCAGAGTCATGGAATCAATTTAAAATACCCTACCGTAGTGAATTCTCACTGGACAAAAGTATTCTCAAGTGAAACTAGTCCGGGCGTGGCTCTCATGGCAACCCAAAGCGTAAAACGCAGGCGACATTCTGGAAGAGCACGCATCTGTAGTACTCGATGGGAACCATTCTGCTTACTTCTAGGCTCGACTGGGTTATTTATCTAAAGGATACTAGCCATAAAGGGAAATGAAAAAAGGAAAAGGAAAGTGATCGCGGAGGATTGGTGCCCTTGTGCCTACGTATCCTCATAGCGCAATGAGGAATTCAGAGCTCTGCAGTTCATGGAACCAGGGAAAAGAAGATTGGAAGAAGGTTGAAAACGAAGGAAGGTTGCTCGCCAAGATCTCACAATCTCGTGCCTACGTATCCTCACAATGCAGGGAGGAAGTCTGAGCTTCGTAGTTCGGGGAACCAGGATGAAGAAAGGAAAATAAAATGGTATCAAAAGTAAGAGCGAGAAAGCAAAGGAATGGTGGCAACTTCACTAGAGAAGAAAGCAAGGAAATGGTGCCAAAACCAAGAGAATAAGGAAGCAAAAAAGTTGAATTGATATAAGGTGATATCCACTGGGGATTCAGTATATCAACTGACATGCAGTGGTTAACCGAAGAAAGAGAGAATACAACCCTGACGGGAAAAAAAGAAATTGGTGTTTAACCGACAGATGATGATTACCTAGAAGAAAAGATCTTTTACCAAAAGGTGTTTGACCTACTGGAGAATTAGGTACGTTAACTGAAGAACTATGGTTAACCAAAAAAATAAGTGGAAGAAATGGTTTTAATAGACAGACTATTATCAACCAAAAGACGGATGTGGAACTAAGAAAAGGTTGTGACCCAAGGGAACAGGTGTAGAACCCAGCGAAGGTTGTGACCCAAAAGGGGTCCGGTACATTAACTGACAAGAAGTACTTGACCGAAGAAAGAGTATTGAACCAAGAAAATATTACTAACCCAAAAGCACGTGTATTCAAAGCAAAAGAAGGTTACTAACTCACGAGGGTATTGGTTTTAACATAAGGACTATGATTAACTAAATAATGAGTAATGAACCAAGAGAAAGTGATTAACCCAATATAAACTGACTATGTTAACAGACGGACTGTGATTAACTAAGGAATGGGTCATTAACCAAGAGAAGGTGATTAACCCAAGGAAGGATTGGTTTTAACAGGCGGACTGTGATCAACTAAAGAGTAGGTGATTACTACTCTTCGGGGGAACCAACGAACCAAAAGAGAGGGAGTTGAACCAAAAGAAGGTTGTTAACCTAAAGAACTAAGTATGTTAATAGATGAACTATGGTTAACCGAGGGAAGGAAGACATTGATCTTAAATCAATGAAGTGGTGATTGATCAAAGGAAAGATTGAAAAAGGAACGAGTGATCAAGGATCAATTCAAGTGAGGATCGGGAGACACTATAGACTGGAGATAGAGACGATTATTCCAGGCATAGGGTCATTCGTCCCCTACCTAAAATAACTAAAATGAGTGTAGAAATTCTCCACTCCCATCCCTTCTCTAGCACCAAAAGTATGTGCGGACATTGAAACCGAAAGAATAACGGTGCAATTTGTATAGTGCTACAATGCATTGTGCAGATCTCTGGCTCAGCAGGATCAAGAAAGAAAGGCTCTAAAGAAATCCTAAAGAAAAAAGCTCGGGAAGATTAACCAATCAAAACGAGGTTTTGATCAATCGATCAAAGGGAAGGAACATGCCAATAGTCTTTCAAGCAAATCGAAAGATCATCAAAGCAAACGTGAGAAATAAGGATTGTACAAAATTAAGTCTGCTCAATGAAGAACAAATCTAATGCATCAAATATAAATTGCCAAGCATTAACAAGGGAAAAATTAGCATGCACGTAATCATGTTAACACATAAGCAAGAATTGTGCAAAAAATGCTTGAAACATGTGATCAATTTGCAAAATAATCGAGAAAAATTATGCAATTAATCGAGCAAAGGTCATGTCAAGTAGATTCTGCCCTAAAACAGTAGCATTAACTTGAATACAAGTAAGCATGGGAAGTTGTACAAGAAAATAGGCCAAAACAGTCCCAAACAACAAGTGTTTAAGCAAAAATGTTAGGTGTAATCGATTAACAGCCTGATGTTAATCGATTACACTATGTAAAATTTGTGTTTTCAGGCACAAGAGAGGTGTTAATTGATTAACACTGTGGAAACAGCAAAAAAAGAATTTCAAAAGGCACTTTCCAGAATCACTTATCGCATGAAATTATAGTGGATCAATGCATAGAAGAAGATGCAAAATTCATGTTAATTCATAGAAAATGAAAGCTAAAAGAATCAATCATGCAAAGCAAGAATTCATTCAACAAAGCATCAACTAAGAACTACATTGCGAAAACGCAAAATCGATCAAAAACAGTAAATTAAGCAAGAATCACCAACCTACAAAGCTGAGGTTTGCCTTGGTAATGGTTGAGCAAAAATGTGATGCAAAGAAGCAAAGAAAACAAGAGAATTCTATGATTTAGAGAAAATCATAGCAAGAAAATTGTAGAAAACGTGATAAATGCTTCAAATCCGAAGTTACACCAAAACTCTTGCAATGATCAATTTCCAACACTTGAATTAAAGTAGAAGTTCTTGTAATTGTTGAATCCAAAGAGAAATGCAGTTGAATGGAGATTTAGCTCAAAAGTTTAGCAAGTTCAATGTGAAGATTGCTAAGCTTTAATAGAGGAAAAGAGCTCTAGTGAGATTTGGTGAAGAAGATGAAGATGAAGATGAATGTAAGAGAAAGTTGCAGAAATTTCAGAGAGAAATGAGAGTGAAGAGTGAAAATTTATGAGAATGATCAAGGGTCCCTTGCATCAAGGTGAGGGTTTTCTTATATAGAGGTTAGTCTTGGAGTGCATGGAGGTTTGGATTTTGGTTTAGAGGTAGTTAATGAGGCTTGGCACTTGATTTGGAGTTAGTTAGACCCAACTCACTGAGTTGGGGTCTAACTCAGTTAGTTATTGGTTAACTCAGTTGGAGAATCCCAATTTAAGCTCCATGATCAAGTAGTTCACATGCTTGGAAATGAAGGTGCATGGTGAGCATGATTGAAAGTGAGGTAGTGTAGCAAATGCACTTGATATTTTATGGTGTAATCACATGTCTAGAACCTTCCACAAGATGCTAGAATGATGTAGACCAAAGGAGAAGAGTGTAGATGCTGCAGTGCTGCAAAATGTTGAAATTTTGCAAAGCTTGCAGGTGTTAATCGATTAACCATATAGTGTTAATCGATTAACATAGGAAAATTTTCCCCACTTTGGCGCTAAACAAGTTGTTATTGTTGTAGTTCTATTATTCGACCCCTTACTTTGATAAATGGGCATAGAAACCCTCTTGTTTTGCCTATATTAGTGTTGTGATAACTCAATGGAGATCATATTTATAGCCTCTAGATTCTGTGTGGATTTGATTACATACCTACAATGAAATCATAGATAAAAGAAATATTGATGTGTATGCTAGGAATGCAGGTGCACATGCTTATAGAAAAAGGAAAAATGGGAGGTCAAATTTCGGGTTATGACATTCGACATGGTGAATTGGATTATCAAAGTCATAATAAGCCATATCAAATGATCAAATGATCAAATGCAACATGTAATGAAATGCAATTATACATGAAAATTACATCAAACAAAAGCAAACAACACCAATCAAGAAATAATATCATCAAACAATTGAATCAATAAATTAATTCACATAAAAACCACAAGGATCTACATTGTAAAAGTTGCAAAATAACTAAAATAAGTTTGTATCTAGGAATTACCAACCTATAAAGCTTAGATTTGCTTTGGTAATTGTTGCAAACAGAAAATGGTGGATGTAATCAAGAAAACCAGAGATCCAAGAGATTCTTCACAAGAAAAGTTGAAGAATAATGCAATAAGCTAGAATTGCTTCAAAATCACTTCAAGGAATTACTTCCAAAGTTCATATCTAGATCCAAATCAACTTCTATTGTAGAATTTGATGTTGATGAAAGGAATTGATGAAGGCTAATGCTCTAAAATTAATAAATTCCAATGAAGAAATTGTTAATTCTAATGGAGGAGCTTTATTGAGGTTAGGGATGAAAGTGAAGGGTGAAAAAGTGAGAAAGAATTTGAGAGAGAATTTGAGTGTGAAGTGTAGAGAAATCAAAAAAATAAGTAGAGTCCTTTTGGAATAGGAGAAATTGGTTTAAATATGGTCTAGGTATGGAATGTGAATG